AAAAACATCTTAAACGTATCCCCGTCATCAGTGTAAAAACATCTTAAACATATCCCCGTCAACAGTGTAAAAACATCTTAAACGTATCCCCGTCATCAGTGTAAAAACATCTTAAACATATCCCCGTCAACAGTGTAAAAACATCTTAAACATATCCCCGTCATTAGTGTAAAAACATCTTAAACATATCCCCGTCAACAGTGTAAAACATCTTAAACGTATCCCCGTCATCAGTGTAAAAACATCTTAAACATATCCCCGTCAACAGTGTAAAAACATCTTAAACGTATCCCCGTCAACAGTGTAAAAACATTTTAAACGTATCCCCGTCAACACTGTAAAAACATCTTAAACGTATCCCCGTCATCAGTGTAAAAACATTTTAAACGTATCCCCGTCAACAGTGTAAAAACACCTTAAACTTATCCCCGTCAGCAGTGTGAAGGTGTTTCCACACTGTTGACGGGGATACATTTAAGATGCTTGCAAAGTGTTATGGGGATACATTTCGTTTGTTTCCAAGTATAACCCGTCATAAGCGTAGAAACACCTTAAACTTATCCCCGTCAACTGTGTGGAAATAAATTGAACTTACCTTGTGGAAACACGTGAAACGTATCACAGTGAACAGTGTGGAAATAATTTAAACTTGTCACCGTCAACAGTGTGGAAACTTCTTAAACTTATCCTCGTTAACACAGTAGAAAGACACTTAACACCAAATATTATTGATCTGTAGTACAATTCCTTATTCCGATCCCCCTATAAAAACTTGTTTCAAGTACTCCTAAACTAAGCCTACCGTTTTTCAAGTTCTCTTCGCTAACAACATTAATTCTTGTTTCAACTTCACTTACCTTGATCTTTATCAACAGCATGAACTTTTGTGATGAGTATTCCAACTTTGGCGTCTTCTGGTACTCTGACAGAATAGGTTTGGGCAGTGAAGCAAGGTGCATTATCGTTGATGTCGCTCATCGTTATTTCAATGTTACAAGTACTCTCCCGTTGTGGGTCTTCGTTATCCTGAACATGGGCTTTTAAGGAGTACTGGGCAAGCTTTTCCCTGTCCAGCGGGCGAACTGGCTTTAGCACAGCTTCAGTGGTCAACACAAAAGGTTTTTAAAGAAATGGAAGTAAAATTCATAAAAATAAAATGCTGGAAATAATTATAAAGCAATAAATATATATATATACACTACATAACCAAGAATCGAAAAAATACACTTCTGTATTCTAAAACTTATGTTTACAGCACATTTATTGGCTTATCATTACTGACAATAGAAGAAAACGTTATCTAGAAATTTTAGGAGACTAAGCCTAAAACACCTCACTACAAAAATACTTCAGATCTGACACAGAGAGAAAACAAAACAACAATAACATAGCCTGAATTTCCAGAGCGATGTCATGACGATATGAAATATAAATTCTACAGTTTCGAAACGGTGCTTCAGTATGGAGTTGTTTTTGTTTTCCCCATTCGCGAGAAACGTTACCTGAATGCGAATAAGTATCACTTAATACATAGATACGAAGGATGCCAATTGAGATCCAATTCATGGGAAGTATGAAATATTACATCATTGATGTGGATCTTTGAGATGAAAGACTGCTCTGTAATCCAACTTATAGAGATTTAGAGAAATACCTAGTTATCTGAAAGATAATATAAAAAAAGGTTGTCTTTAGAGCTCTGAAACTAATCTTGAAAAGATTGGCGAAGATTTAGGCTTACCAGTCGACGGGTCGATTACGAAGTCCTCAGCACCTTTCCCTGTCAGAAAATACAGCCCATGAGAGTTTCTTTTAGTATCTGCATCAATAGTTCCAAGCTGTAATACAGAGCTATGGGTCGGCGTGTTCTCGGGCAGAGTGACTCTGTACTTTGACTGCAAATATCAATAAATTCACCAACTCTTTCAATAGTTCTCTGATAAACCAGTATTTCTGTCTATGACTTGATTTTATTATACTTCTGAACAAGAGTTGATGAACATTTAACGTGAAGTACAAAAAACAAAACAAAAAAACTAACTATGTACAAGATTTTTAAAATTATAATAAATAGTTAAAAACACTTTATTGAAGCCGTACGGTTTCCACTTTAAAAGACCACACAACACGTACATGTTTCGACTTGAACTACGTCATCCTCAGGAGTATTTTTTGTTTGTTTTTATGCACAAAGCTACACAATAGGCTCTCTGTGCTCCGAACACCAAGGGTATCGAAACCCGGTTTCTAGCGTTGTAAGTCCGCAGACATACCGCTGTGCCACTGGTGGGGTGGGGGGCTCAGGAGAAACTTACAAGACTATTTTATACTTCCCCCTTATGCAAATAACGATGAAGTAATGTGACAAGGGAGAAAGTATAAAATAGTCTAGTAAGTTACTCCTGAGGATGACGTAGATCACGTCGAAACGTGTACGTGTAGGGTGATATTTGAAAGTGGAAGCTGTACGGCTTCAATAAAGTTTTTATTGTGTAATTATAAAATGTTGTTTTTAATTATTTATTATAACAAAGATGATTTTCAACTAATTATTTAGCTCCATATTATCGGTGTTTGGTATTTTTAATTTAATTTGCGTGAATAATCTGGACTTTAATGAATAATCTGGACTTTAAATATCTAATTCATTAGATAAGCTTCACCTATTGACTTTGACCTATTAACCTATTTGACCTATAAACTTCTTTATGTTTTATTGACTGCGGGCTTATAATGTTAAGAAAACGGGTTTCAATACTGGCTGTGGGCATAACATTTATAGTCCATTGTGTAGCTTTGTGCTTAATAACAAACAAACAAAAACACTATGCATTGTGAGATAGCAAATTCTATTTTTTGTTGTTATGGTTTTGTTTATTGTTCATTTACTGTTCCCTCTATCGTTTAGTTTATCTATGAATTTTTAGTTATATTAAAACGTTAACTCACCTTCTAGCTGATCACGTTTAGTTTGAATAAATATGTATGTTTTATGAAACTGACACAAGCTTCTGTAGCGATGACGTACAGACAATATTAAAGTAGCAATGGGTTATGTAAATTTATGATCACATGAGATGTACTCTCGTGACCTAACGGAGTGAATAAATATCCTGACCCAAGCTTCATAATAGATAGTTAGTTCACGAGATAGATAGTGGATGTTATAGTTAGTGAATTATTGCTGTTTACCACTCTATAGTGTTATTAATATAGCATATTGATTTTGGAATATTGTTTTTTAATTAGGTTTTTTCTTTTTCTAGTTCTTTTTCCAGATTCCATTAGTTGAAATAATTAACATTGATATTTATGTTTTACTGTTCTTTAACATAAGTATAAAGTCCTGGCCAGGCACGTGTTTATTAACTGCGTTTTTAGTAAGTGTTAAATTTTATTCCATGTGTTGTTACAGTTTAATAAATGGCTGCAGCGGTGTGTTATTTCAGACCTAGACCGTTACTAGCATGTTAATGAAATAAATATCTAGGTATTTGCATTTTCAAAAATAACAAAAAACCAGTAGAATGCCTTAAGCGTTAAATGGAATATTATTATCAAGTTAATTTTAATTACAAAGATATATAATTATCAGATAGAAATCAGTCAATCTCGAAGGAGGAAAGTAATACACGAGATTTCTGTCTATATCAACGTCACATTGGTGTTTACAACGCAATATTTATAAGTTTCTCTATTGATTTATCGATTTTTAATGAAACTTTATTGTTACAGATGGCTAAGCAAACATAAATGATAAAAAAAGAAAAACGGAAAAAACGATTATTTGTGTTCGAGCAAAGCCACATTGGGAAATGTGCTGGGTCCACCGTGGGGAATCGAACCCAGGATTTTAACGTTGTAACTCCCAACTCCCCAAACTTACCGCTGTCCCACCGGGGGGGGGGCAGAATTAACGAGTAATTATCTTCGACAGTTTGTGAAGTAATTTAGAACTCCGAGTGTGAATGAAATCCTTTTGTAGCTTGGATAATATGAGCCACAAACTTCTATTTATAAACCTACCCTATCGTACACCCACAGCTTTTGGTTTATCAATGCCCACCTAGTATCTAAAACTTTACTAATATCTTCATTCACAGTTGAGAGCCCGGCATGGCCGGGTGGTTAGGGCAGTCGACTCGCAACCTGCGGGTCGCGGGTTCGACTCCCCGTCACACCAAACATGCTCGCCTTTTCAGCCGTGGGGGCGTTATAATGTGACGGTCAATCCCACTATTCGTTGGTAAAAGAGTAGCCCAAGAGTTGGCGGTGGGTGGTGATGACTAGCTGCCTTCCCCTCTAGTCTTACACTGCTAAATTATGGACGGCTAGCGCAGATAGCCCTCGTGCAGCTTTGCGCGAAATTCTAAAGAAACAAACTAAATGTTAGTTTAAAATTACAAACTGTTTCTAAATACTGCAATCCTTCTAAGCATTATACATTACGTAGATTTTTTTGATAAACAAAAAATGAGTGATAATTGTCAGACAAGATATGGAAAATTAATCTTGAAATGACACGCTCGGGAGTTCGCCCGAAAAATTATGCTTATATACTTATGGAACAGCTTCTTATGGTATATAACGTTTTCGATGCTTGTGGATCTTATGCGAACAGCCATGCCAATGTTTACAAATTTTTCTGGGGGACATGCACCCCCCCCCACACACACACGTATGACACATTCTTAAAACTTGCTAATGACTGAAAACTTTGTGCGTTGCTTCCATATTTTATCTCATGAAACTTATTTTGTTAAAAAAAGTTCTGGGGGGGCATGCCCCAGACTCCCCCCGTAAGACACATTTTTAAAACTTGTGAATGGCTGAAAACTTTGTGTTTTCGTATCTTTTGCGCTCTACATACCTTGAGGAACACAGTTGGGTTATCGTTGGCATCTAGAACACCAAGAGATACAAAGGTTGTTGAGGTAAACTTGCCATCCGTTACGGTGATCTCCAGATCGTAGTGTGAAATCTGTTCTCGATCGAGAGGTGTGTTGATGTACAACTCTCCAGTTTTTTGGACCCGAAAGGAATCTTTAAGGTTTCCTTTGGTAATATAAAACTCTAAACTGTTCTTCACTTCGTCACTGTCTCGATCGTTGACTTCCAAGACAATTATATCCGTTCCAGCAAGAGCATCTTCATAGACAGCAGCCTCGTAGAATGATCGGTTGAAGGTAACTGGGTTGTCATTGTAGTCTTGAATATTTACAATCACCACGACGGTGGAAGAAAGCGGTGGGAATCCACCGTCGCGAGCTATTACAGTAAAGTTGTAGCTCGAATCGGTTTCGTAATCCAACGGAACCATTGTTGTTAGCCAACCGGTGTTGGCATCCAGGCTGAAGACCCCAGTAACCTTAACCTCGTCTAACCCTAATGAGTAAGTAACGTCAGAGTTTTGACCCAGGTCTGCGTCACGAGCGACCACTTTAAGCACAGAGCACCCTACTTCTACGTTTTCAGCTATTTTGATCAAATACGGATTGGAATCAAACTCCGGACTGTTATCATTTTGATCAAAAACCACTAATTCAATGTTAGTGTAAGACACTAGAAGAGGGTTACCGTGCACGTTAACTGCTACTGTTAAATGATAAGTGTCCACTTCTTCCCTATCAAGCCGGGACGCCAACGAAATCTGGCCTTGTTCAGTAAGAGTAAATTTGGATTGAAAGAACTGAGCAGTGGAACCCTCTTTCACTGGTGCAAAGAAATACGTGAGAGGCCAAGGGGCACTGGCATTAAGAGTGGAAACTATGGTGCCTATTTCTGCAGCTTCCGAGACAAAGAATGTATAATGATGCTGTTCAAAATGGGGCACTAAAACTTCTGGTGCACCAATCCGGAGAGTTATGGGAACCTCTGCTTCTTGGGGAGGGGTTCCTTTATCTTCTACCCTCACAAAAAACTGATATACATTGTTTTCTAAATTAAGATAGAGAGAGAGAAAAAAAGCAAACAAGTATATTAATTAATATGCTAAATTAGTTTTAAATTTGCAACGCTGTACTTATTAGTATTTAACAAAACAAATGGTAGGTTATTAAAGTAAGGCTTAGTAAAAAATAAATCAATCGAAAATTTCCAAATACATCCGAGCTGGTTAAATAATTTTAGCACATTCGCTTACCACAAAGCATAGATTCACTAACGTATTAAATACTTAAAAACATTTTACGTTTGTATAATTACAATAACCACTTGCAAGAAACATATGATCACCCAATTAATTTGAATTCATCCGAGGCTCTATATTATAACGCCAAGTAGTGATTCACTGCGAATTAAACATGAAACAACAACAGAACATATCTTATACAAGTACCACGATAATAATGATTGGTCTTAAACATGTTACACGCTTCAAGAAAACACCGGCGGCTCTGTGCAGGTGCTAACCGTGTTGCTGGAAAAATATATATTTTTGTTCAATCCTAGAATTTTACATATATTTTATATGTTTTATTTAATATGATTATTTGTTCAAAGAGATGAAAATTGACTGTGACAACAACAACAACAACAAAAGAGTTGTAAGATTTCTGAACGTACCTTGCCCAACAAGTGAGGATTTTACATAGAGAACCCCTTGATCTGAATTGATACCAAATAACGTGTGAAAGAGAGCATTTTGGTCCCCATAAATGCTGTATTCCAGGATACTACCGGGGGTATCATCAGGGTCAAAGGCATGGACCTAGACGATAAACTGTACTTAAGTTTTCCAAATTTGGTAAACACACATTAAGACGATAAACTGTACTTAAGTTTTCCAAATTTGATAAACACACATTAAGACGATAAATTGTACTTAAGTTTTCCAAATTTGATAAACACACATTAAGACGATAAACTGTACTTAAGTTTTCCAAATTTGGTAAACACACATTAAGACGATAAACTTTACTTAAGTTTTCCAAATTTGGTAAACACACATTAAGACGATAAACTTTACTTAAGTTTTCCAAATTTGGTAAACACACATTAAGACGATAAACTGTACTTAAGCTTTCCAAATTTGGTAAACACACATTAAGACGATAAACTATACTTAAGTTTTCCAAATTTGGTAAACACACATTAAGACGAAAAATTTACTTAAGTTTTCCAAATTTGGTAAATATATATTAGACAAAAGAATCGGAAACGAAATGCTACGATCTAAAAATAAAATAAAGAAGCCCGAAATACATTTGTGCTTATCGGATTACCAATATCAAACGGTCGCTTACTGTGCAATAATTGCACCACAGTGATAAATATGCACACCTTCTATTTTAGAAGTGTCGTTATAACAGTCTCCTTCTGTGCAATAATTACGCCACAGTGGTACATATGCACACGTTCTACTTAAGAAGTTTCATTTAAACAATTACATTCTGTGCAATAATTACGCCAGTTTTAAACATACAGATCTTGTACTTAAGAAATGACGTTAGAACGGTCACTTACGTGCAATAGTAACAATCAAGGGATAAATATGAATATCTTGTATTTAAAAAGTGTCGTTTAAACAATCACTTACTGTGCAATAATAACACTCAAGGGATAAATATGAATATCTTGTATTTAATAAATGCGTTAAAACAGTCACTTACTGTGCAATAATAAGACTCAAGGGATAAATATGAATATCTTGTATTTAAGAAAGTGCCGTTAAAACAGTCACTTACTGTGCAATAATAACACTCAAGGGATAAATATGAATATCTTGTATTTAAGAAATGCCGTTAAAACAGTCACTTACTGTGCAATAATAACACTCAATATGAAAATAATTTTCTTAAGAAGTGTCGTTACTAAGATAAGTAAAAGCATCCAACTGTTACCTTATGTATTTATTTCAACTATATAGGTTATACAGCAAGTAACTAATACATATTTATATGTTGAGTTCGAAATTAGTAGGTAGCCGAAACATGCAATCAAATTCCCATCTGGTCATAAGAAAATACATCCCCCCCCCAAAAAAAAAGATCGCGAGATTGTTCAAAATTTCGGCCACTGACCACTTCAGTGATTAACAAGTTGGAATACAAATAAAACATGAAACATATATTTAATTACAGCCTCGCTAGTCTACTCCGTTGTACAATTGGGTAGAACGAGGCCTATTGGTTAGTGTGCACCTTCAGTGAATCCGGAGATCCCAAGTTCGCGGCTCATTGCCGCAAAAAATGTGCTCCATACTCTGAGGCCATTGTGCACTATAAAGAGAGAGAGAGAGAGAGAATGGGGGTGGGTCAAATTCCACCACTCGACTAGGTTAGCACAAGAATTGTCGGTGGGTGCTGTCTCCCTTCTGATATATCAGTTCCAAATTAGAAACGGCTATGTGTGCATAGCTCTTGAGTAGCTTTGTGCAAATATTCTGAAACAAACCAAATTACACATATTGTGTGATTAAGTATTCGGCAGTAAAGAATGTTGATACTGCCAACATGATATACATACATATATATATTCTTATATGAAACGCATTAAGTAGAAATGAACGAATTAACATTAAGCCTTAAATGAATTATTGTAGGACAGTAACAATGTATTTTATCTTATAAATTATTCAAGAACAACCCATGAATAATTTCTTTTATGGTATACAAGACAGTTAAGACTCCTTGGTTGTTCAGCAGTAAGAATTGTTTTGTGGACTTTGCCAAGTGGGTTGTCTAGCTTTCGTAAAAATATAATGAAACTTATATATATACATATATACACGCAATTAATGCATACGTTGAAAAGGTTCAAATTAAATTGTAAAAGATTTTATAGAGTGAAAACATGTGTGTATAAGTTAGTATATACGATTATATTTCAACATTATATTAAAGGCATACAGGGGCGAGTACTGAGCTCTGCACGGCCCTGACGAGATAATTATGTAAAAATACATTTATATTTTAGACGTACATGCTAACAAAACAATGTAAAAACTATCACTTTCAAGTAAAAATGTCTGCAGACATAATCAAAATACTAGATGTAAAACTAAAAAGCTTGTTTGTTTGTTTTTAATTATGCACAAAGCTACACAAGGGCTATCTGTGCTCAGCCCACCACGGGTATCGAAACCCGGTTTCTAGCGTTGTAAGTCCGCAGACATACCGCTGTGCCACTGGTGGGGTGGGGGGCTCAGGAGAAACTTACAAGACTATTTTATACTTCCCCCTTATGCAAATAAGTTACACCTAAAGAGGAAACAGGTAGGGGGGGGGGGTACCAGGACTATAGAGGTGGGTTTACTGGGTGGAGGTTGGGTGATAATTTTTGATAAAAATCAATGGTGGTTGATGTTATTGGATTTATATTTTGATGTCTTTAGGGATAACTATCATGACCACAACTGCCTACGATGATCAGTGGTAATAGAATCTTGGACGTTGTGGGTTCTAGCACCCAGATCCTAACCTCTTAGTGAATCTGTAGCTTTCTTTCTAGTTTTACATCTGTTGTTTTGATTATGTCTGATAGACGGATTATCCCCAATGCTTTTGGCGCGATCATATATTTGTTGGCGTATATATATATATATATCTATAGCAAAAATGTTGTAATTTTTTTACATGATATACATACAATAATTGCATTAACTGCTGGTAACCTATCATAGTCACAATGACTGAGTTTCAGTCATCTTGGTTATAGTTTGTATATGTTGATTACTGGAATGGAATGAAAGTTATACAGTAGAATCTATGTACAAAACAAAAGACTTGCAGAGGAAAATTAATATAAATATATGAAATTAAAGAACACGGTGCATAGAAAATAAAAAGCAAGAAACTGATAAATTTAAATAAAAATTAAGTTTAATCCTCTACAATTATGTGTATGCTATTATAAAGAGGGTTGAGTACGTTATGCTAAAAAAAATTGAACATGCAAATCACTTAACAGCCACAGGCGATATAAATTCGTGGTGGAACGGGATGTATCATAACTATATTATGACATTGTTCGGCGTTTCGTGGATAGTGTGATGTCCTCACTTTTTGGAAAGGTGTGTAACAGCACTTTACAACACCAAATATTCATACATTCAGATCATAGAGATGTGTTCAGATCGGGGATTTATAATTTTCAAGACGGGTACATCCCTTGAGCTTAATGGCATTGGTGGGCAAAGTGCAGCGTTTCAAAACCGTTGAGAATACGCGAACGCAGAGGCCAGTGGCTAAAACAGCAGTCGTGTCCCAGGAAAAAGTACACAACATAATCAAATTACGATGGCTGTCTGGAAGTCACGTCTGGCTCAAGTCACGTCTAAACACGTTGTTTCTACGACGTATCATTCAAACCTCCAAATACCTCTTCCATATAAAGAAACGGATATTAATGCTATTCCATAGAAAGACATACCCGTCAGGTCGCCAGCCGTAACACCTGTGGATTTCTGCGCAAACGGGGTGTTGAAACGGGCCATGAAAAACCGCCATCCCCTTACACTGAATGGCTTATGAAAAGCATACAGGGAAGAGAGCTGATGCTTTAGACATGAAAGCTTTACAACAAAGCCTTTTTCAATGTAAACCACGCTGTAGGACTATTCTCAGATAGAGTACGACCGAATGTGGCGACACTGTAGCTACGTGGTGAGGCTCCAAAATCGTTTTAATATATATTACTCAGTATCAATACAAATTAAAGACCTCTCATATTTCCATCAAAAGATCAGTTCTTGTCTACAAACTACGTCGATAATTTCAACTTTTATCCCAGTCATAGTATGATGTTTACTGTTGTTCACCTTAATATATGTATAGTATTTAATTACACTAACGATAACCTTATTAATCTTAAGACAACATTTGATTACACTAACGATAACCTTATTAATCTTAAGACAACATTTGATTATACTAACGATAACCTTATTAATCTTAAGACAAAATTTGATTACACTAATGATAACCTTATTAATCTTAAAATAACGTTTGATTACACTGACGATATCCTTATTAATCTTAAGACAACATTTAATTAAATTAACGATAACCTTATTAATCTTAAAATAACGTTTGATTACACTAGCTATATTCTTGTTCATCTTTTATACAGCATTTAATTAAACTAACGATATTCTTGTTCATCTTAATACAGCATTTAATTAAACTAACTATATTCTTGTTCATCTTAAGACAACATTTAATTAAATTAACGATATTCTTGTTCCTCTTAATACAGCATTTAATGAAACTAACGATATCCTTACTAATCTTGAGACAACATTTGATTACACTAACGATATCCTTACTAATCTTGAGACAACATTTGATTACACTAACGATATCCTTACTAATCTTGAGACAACATTTGATTACACTAACGATATTCTTATTAATCTTAAGACAACATTTGATTACACTAACGATATCCTTACTAATCTTGAGACAACATTTGATTACACTGGCGATATTCTTGTTGATTTTAATACAACATTTAATTACACTGGCGATATTCTTGTTGATTTTTATACAACATTTAATTACACTGGCGATATTCTTGTTCATTTTAATACAACATTTAATTACATTGGCGATATTCTTGTTGATTTTAATACAACATTTAATTACATTGGCGATATTCTTGTTGATTTTAATACAACATTTAATTACACTGGCGATATTCTTGTTCATTTTAATACAACATTTAATTACACTGGCGATATTCTTGTTCATTTTAATACAACATTTAATTACACTGGCGATATTCTTGTTCATTTTAATACAACATTTAATTTCACTGGCGATATTCTTGTTGATTTTAATACTACATTTAATTACACTGGCGATATTCTTGTTCATTTTAATACAACATTTAATTACACTGACGATATTCTTGTTCATTTTAATACAACATTTAATTACACTGACGATATTCTTGTTCATTTTAATACAACATTTAATTACACTGACGATATTCTTGTTCATTTTAATACAACATTTAATTACACTGGCGATATTCGTGTTCATTTTAATACAACATTTAATTACACTGGCGATATTCTTGTTGATTTTAATACAACATTTAATTACACTGGCGATATTCTTGTTGATTTTAATACAACATTTAATTACACTGGCGATATTCGTGTTCATTTTAATACAACATTTAATTACACTGGCGATATTCTTGTTCATTTTAATACAACATTTAATTACACTGGCGATATTCTTGTTCATTTTAATACAACATTTAATTACACTGGCGATATTCTTGTTCATTTTAATACAACATTTAATTACACTGGCGATATTCTTGTTCATTTTAATAGCGATGCAACATATTAAAAACATGTTTATGAAATACATATCTTACCTTAAGCACGCTACTTCCAATTGTTATATTCGTAGGAACTGTGAGGTCGTACTGAGCGGCAGAGAATTCGGGCGAGTTGTCGTTGACGTCACTGATCGTGACTCTTACAAGAGAGTAATTTATTCGACTTCCACCATCAGATGCTTTTACGGGAATCTCGAATAAATGGGCCCTTTCTCTGTTAAGGCTCCTCTTTGTATAGAGCTGTCCTTTAATAGAATAAAACGCGAAAAATATAGCTAAAAATGAGGAACGGACAAAAAGGAGTTATTTATAATGATGATGGCAGTAATGTATGAAACGAATACATCTAAAATGCGGTAAAATTTAAACCCTCGTTTTTTTCTAGTGCCCCACCCCAGTGGCACAGCGGTAAGCCTGAAGACTTATAACACTAGAAACTGGGGTTCGATACTCGTGATGGGCACAGAACAAATAGTCCATTGTGTAGCTTTGTCTTTAACAACAAACAAACTTTTCACAAATATTTGTAAACCAGAATCCTTTAATAGGTCGCCCCCCCCCCCTTCCAGTGGCACAGCAATATGTCTGCGGACTTACAACGCTAGAAACTGGGTTTCGATACCCGTGGTGGACAGAGCACAGATAGCTCCCTTTGTGCTTAACGTTACACGAATACACAAACACACTTTTAATAGAAGAAAAAATAAAGTCATTATTCAACACTCGGGTGTTAAGTACCTAGTACTATATGTAAACATGACCACATTAATCATCACGTAACTATAAGGTATGTAACATCTTACGAACTGATACTGTTCATTACAGTTACAGTGTTACAGTTGGTTGGTTGTCAAGTGTTACTATACAGTTGACACTCCGTATTATTGTTGATCAAGTCAGCTTAGTTGTTCATCATGTGCAAAAGTGTACCCCGTTACTGTTGTTAAGCACGGCTGGGTTGTGGGTTGGTCATTACTCACACATGACTACATAATGTTAATATGTTCGGCTGGGTGGTGGGTTGTTCATCATGTACAAAAGTGTACCCCGTTACTGTTGTTAAGCGTGGCTGGGTTGTGGGTTGGTCATTACTCACAGCTGACTGCATAATGTTAATATGCTCGACTAGGTTGAAGGTTGTTCATTATGCACAGCTGACTGCATAATGTTAATGTCAATATGCTCAGCTGGGTTGTGGGTTGTTCATTATGTACAGTTTAATACATAATGTCAATATACTAGGCTGGGTTATGAGGTGTTCATTATGTAAAGTTTAGTGCATAATGTTAATATACTAGGCTGGGTTATGAGGTGTTCATTATGTAAAGTTTAGTGCACAATGTTAATATGCTCGGCAAGGTTGTGGGTTGTTCATTATACACAGATATATATATATAGTTAAAACCGTATAGGCGACAAAGATATCGAAGTTAAAGAACAGGTTGAACAATCGCTCTTCGTCAGATCGAACAGCTTACAAAAACAATCTGTACGATCTGAAGATGTGTGCTAGGCTAGGTCGAAACGTCATCCTTCTTTAAATAAAAACACAAACAAACTTGCCGCTTGTTAAACCCATTCTTTTGTTCATCATGCACAGTTTGCTACATAATGTTATTATTAATATGCTCGGTTGGCTTCCTCATATGTACATGTAAATGCTTAGCATAAGTGTTTGTGATTTAAAATGGACTCCACATCTTTTGAAGTTTGATGTCAAACTAATTGAAGTTACACAGTCAATATACAAATAATGCAGAGTTTCGCTTATATTGAAGTGATGCTTATATACATGGAATAAGAAATTTGGTGTAATTTTAGAATAATCGGTTGGTGCAGTGTTTTTTGTTGTTTTTTTCTTGTAAAACATATCAGGTTTCGTAGTTGGATGTAAATTATAACGTTTATATTTATAGTCACAAGTTGTGAGGATTTTAGAAGCAAAACGACCCGAGTTTTTGTGTGTTTTGTAAGTTATGGTTTATCCCGCTTTCCTATGTAGTTAGTTTTAGTACATTTTATGGATTATAAAGCTTAAATTAATTTGGATACTTTTTGAGCTCATTTTTACAACTATTAAGGTTTTATGAATTTTACTTTAATATAGAGGTTGATATACCCTAAGAAGGCCTCAGGAATCATTGGGATTACGGCCGAAAACATAGTTAACAGCGAGAGTGACCAACAGATAATTCAGTGCAATATAATTATTATACGTTTTAATTCTCCGTATACTGATTTGTAAAACTAGGTAAATCTGGTTAGTTTTTCATACAGAATGGATTTTATTAATGAATGTGTATTAATCTTTACTTAACTTAGGTCAGAAGTTCTTATTAACTACTTTTAGTTGTGTATGTAACACTATTGTTGATGACCTTAGTTGAGTCATACATATTGTAAAGTTGTGTATGTAACACTATTGTTGATGACCTTAGTTGAGTCATACATATTGTAAAGTTGTGTATGTAACGCTATTGTTGATGACCTTAATTGAGTCATACATATTGTAAAGTTGTGTATGTAGCACTATTGTTGATGACCTTAATTGAGTCATACATATTGTAAAGTTGTGTATGTAACACTATTGTTGATGACCTTAATTGAGTCATACATATTGTAAAGATGTGTACCTAACACTATTGTTGATGACCTTAATTGAGTCATACATATTGTAAAGTTGTGTACCTAACATTATTGTTCAAAGCTCGGTTGGGATATATCTAATAAATATATGTTTAGTTCAAGTATTTATTAAATGAGCTAGCGACTCTCTTACTTATTTAGAAATAACCTGTGTCTATTTTTTAATGTCATATATGGTAATGCGCTTAGGACAATTTGTACAATCCAAAGATTTTAGAAACTTCAAAGATTATTGAGAAACTGAGTTGCCACAAAAACATTTGCACATTTTCCGACGTTAATTTTAGTTTTGAGTTATTTCTTATGAAAGCAGTATTCTGCATTTTAATGTTTAATTCATTCTCTGAGATAAGACACAGGATAAAGGAGTCCAAACAGTCAGCTAACTTACTGTACACCAAGAACTTTTGCTAATTCATCTAGACATCCTGGTTTTGAAAAGAGCATGTGCGTGATTGTGAAAGCTATCAGCTGGAAAGAGTTATAGGACGAGCCAGTAAGTGGGTTGTCAGCCCAAGAGAATCTCCTACAGTACCAGTCTTATAGCAGATTACATTGCTCTGGTAGGATTTCCAGTTCACCATGTTGACATCCCTTTCGAATATCTCTTGGCAGCCTGCCTTAACTAATACGGTTTTCAAAGTAATATAATAATGTCCACAATTTTATTCCTGAAGAAAACAAAAAGTGACGAATTTGATTGATTTATTGCTGATAAGTCAGCAGTTTGAGATGTTCAACCAGATACTGATATATGATCTTGAATATTTTTTTTTTATCTCTCACACAAGGTTTGTTCATGAGCGTTAATCTACGGTTAATAATAGTGTTTAATTTGAACTAATAGTGAAAACATTTATTTTTTTAAAATAGAAATCCACTCAGAAATCAACGTTACGTTTGAATTTTAAAACAGTTTTTATGCAACGGATGATTATGGTTGTTTGTTGTTGAGCACAAAGCTACACAATAGGCTATTTGTGCTTGGCTCACCACGGGTATCGAAACCCGAATTTTGGCCTCGGTGAGCCAATGGGGGAACATAACAGATGAAGGTAATTTGCACATTTTTGATTACTTAATGTCTTTCTTGTTGATCGAATTCATCTATTTATAAATTTCCGGAATCAAAAATCAATAGTAGAATTGTTTGATAACTCGATGTTCTAATTTTGGATAGATTCAACGATTGAAATATAGTTTTCCTTTCTTCAAACAAGTACAGGAAAGGAAAATTTTCAATCTACTACAATCCGAACAAAGAAACATAAAACTTTCGAACAATGGAAAGGAAAACTGCCAATCTCCTGCAATCCGAACAAACAAACATAAACATAATCTCATCAGTTCTCTCCTTTATATTTTTTTGTCAGGAAAGAATAGGAAACGTAGTATTTTTTTTCTTATCATTCTTATCTTCAGATACTCACTTGATTATTCATATTAGTTTCATACAAATAATTAACTTTATAGTTTCATACAAATAATTAACTTTATAGTTTCATACAAATAATTAACTTTATAGTTTCATACAAATAATTAACTTTATAGTTTCATACAAATAATTAACTTTATAGTTTCATACAAATAATTAACTTTATAGTTTCACACAATGAATTAACTTTATAGTTTCACACAATTAATTAACTTTATAGTTTCATACAAATAATTAACTTTATAGTTTCACACAAATAATTAACTTTATAGTTCCATACAAATAATTAACTTT